TTTGTAGACAGTCTGTCTTACCGTGGACACATGAACATCAAGGCTTTTGGAGATACTTTTGTAACCCTTTCCAGCTTCATGCAAGTCAACAATTCTTGATCGTAGGTCTTCTGAGAGCTCTTTTCTGCGAGGCATGGTTCACATCAGACAGTGCTTCTTGAAACCAGTAAACCCAAAACAGGTGTGTGTGTTTTTTAAGGGCAGGACAGCTGTCAGCAACACACCCAATATCATCACACTGATTGGAGTCAAGGTTGGCTCCAATTAGCTCTGGGAAAAGTCATTAAGCTAGGGCCTCACATACTTTTTCCTCCCTGCACTGTGAATGTTTACATGTTATGTGCAATTAAACCATGGCAACATCTAATGTTTGTGCAGTATTATGTTCAGCAGACTGTGTTCTTCTATTGTTGTGACTTAGATGACGTTCAGAGCACATTTTATGCCCAATTCATGCAAAACTCCACGTAATCCCAAGGGGTTCACATACTTTTTCTTGCAACTGTATAATGTACTCTAATGGGGCAAAAGATTACTAATGTACCCTGATAAGGGCAACTGATTTACAATGTACCCTGATAAGCAATTCAGCAGTAATGTACCCTGATAGGGGCAGCTGATCTATAATGTACTCTGAGAGGGCAACTGGTCTATAATGTACTCTGAGAGGGGCAACTAAGCATTAATGTACCCTGATAGGTGCAAGTAAGGAATAATGTACCCTGATAGGGGTAACTGATCTATATTGTACTCTTAGAGGGCAGCTGATCTATAATGTACTCTGAGGGGGCAACTGATCTATAATGTACCCTGAAAGGGGAAACTAATTTATAATTACCCTGATAGGGGTAACTGATCTATAATGTACTCTGATGGGGCAACTGATCTATAATGTACCCTGATAGGAGCAATTGATCTATAATTTAGGTATAATGGGGGCAACAGATTTGTGGGGGCACTCTGATAGGGGCAACTATAGAGGTACTCTGATGGAGGCACCTGATGTAAGGGGAAGCTGTAATGAGGATAAAAGCAAAGGAACAGCAGGGCGCTAAGGTCAGAATCCAATACAAATCACTTTACTAAAATAAGCAGCACACTTACATTGAAGTTTGCATGAAACAGCATGGAAAGGGAACATCTGAGACCAAGCAGATGTGATCAGTGTGAGGCTGTAGGCATCTCTGAGCAAACAGAGGCCAGGGATGACAGGGAGCCAGACAGCTAAAGGTATGGATAGTATAGGATTGCCTTCCCAAATCTGTCTGCTGTTTTCTGCACAATACAGACTTTCATTTGGAGAGAGACAGTCTGAAAGAGCTTCTACCGTGTTCTGTCTTTAGAAAACCCAGAATGCTCTGTGAAGCCAGTACTAATATTTATTTGTAACTAATACATTTAGAAATAAATTGACTAAAAAACACATAATTCAATTTACAGTTGAATGGTTGACCTGTAACAAACTCTGTTCGTTTGTGAAAATCACAGGAGAGATGTGGTTTTCTCAACTCTAAATACATTAAATGGGGAAATGACAACCTTTACAGACAACAGTTTATACTCTACTTTGTGTGAAGTAGAAGTTCAGCTTCTGGCACACTCCAGCAGACACTAAAGTACAGAGTGCTGCATTTGCTGGGACAATCCCACTTTTTGTGAGTTGTCCCTTGAGGTCTGTGTCTCGGGAACAATGGCTGAGGTTCTCCAAGGGCTAGCAATAGGGGAGAACATGGGCTGCCTGTCAGTGGCATTGCTAGCTCCAGAGCAGTGTGAAGACAAGGTGTATGGTCTAGAAACAAGCACTTTGGCACCTGACATTTCAATGTGCGAGCTGCATGGCCAGCACAGCCAGCATAGGTGGCTTGATAGGAGAGCAGGCAATACTTCTGTAACACACTGGGTCAGCAAGGGAGCCTGGCAGGGATGCCTGTGGGCAACCCTAGGGCATCATCCATGGTTTGGTTTAGGGACTCCTGTGTGCACTGCCTCACCTTCTGCACAGCACTGACCTTTATGCAGAGGCAACGAGCACAGCACCAATCTGATGGTCTTAGCACTGATAGTCTCTCCAACCAAAGATCGCTTATTATCTCCAGGCTGGTGACAGCTGGAATCTGATTGGCTGCTCCAGGTAATGCTGACACTTCTTCTTCCACTACATATTTCCACATGTACCCCAGTCAGATCAGGATACTGTGCTCATAGGGGGCCCCAGTCAAGTGTACAAAACTGTCAGCTCTATATACACTCACCAGCCACTTTATTAGGCACACCTTGCTAAGAAAATATCCCCCACAGCATTACACCACCACCAGTCTGAACCATTGATACAAGGAAGGATGGATCCATGTTTTTGTGTTGTTTACACCAAATTCAGACCCTACCATCTGAATGTTGCAGCAACCAGTCTACCCATTCTCCTTTGACATCAAGGCATTTCATCCACACAACTGCAGTTCACTGAATATTTTCTCTTTTTCGGACCATTCTCTGTAAACCCTAGAGATGGTTGTGCGTTAAAATCCCAGTAGATCAGCAGTTTTTGAAAAACCATTCCACATTCAAAGTCACTTAAATCCCCTTTCTTCCCCACTCTGATGCTTGGTTTGAAGTTCAGCAAGTCATCTTCACCACATCTAGATGCTTAAATGCATTGAGTTGCTGCCATGTGATAGGCTACTCCAGAACCTTGATATGCTTCTTACGGAGCCACTCCTTGGTTATCCTGGCTGTGTGCTTCGGGTCGTTGTCATGTTGGAAGACCCAGCCAAGACACACCTTCAATGCTCTGACTGAGGGAAGGAGGTTGTTGCTCAAAATCTCACAATAAATGGCCCCATTCATCCTCTCCTTAATACAGTGCAGTCGTCTTGTCCCCTTCGCAGAAAAGCACCCCAACGCATGATGTTACCACCCCCATGCTTCACAGTAGGGATGGTGTTCTTGGGATGCAACTCATCCTTCTTTTTCCTCCAATCACAACAAGTGAAGTTTAGACCAAAAGGTTCTACTTTGGTCTCATCTGACCACGACTTTCTCCCATGCCTCCTCTAGATCATCAAGATGGTCATTGGCAAACTTCAGACGGGCCTGGACATGTGATGACTTGAGCAGGGGAACTTTCCGTGCAATGCATGATTTGAAACCATGACGGCGTAGTGTTCTAGCGACAGTCAGCTTTGAAACTGTGGTCCCAGCTCTCTTCATGTCATTGACCAGCTCCTCCCTTGTAGTTCTGGGCTGATTCCTCACCTTTCTTATCATCAGTGATACCCCACGAGGTGAGATCTTGCATGGAGCCCCATTCCGAGGGAGACTGACAGTCGTCTTTAGCCTCTTTTTTTTTTCTAACAATTGCTCCAACAGTTGATCTATTTTCACCAAGCTGCTTGGCAATTGCCCCGTAGCCCTTTCCAGCCTTGTGGAGGTCCACAATTTTGTCTCTGGTGTCTTTTGACAGCTCTTTGGTCTTGCCCATGGTAGTAGTTGGCATCTAACTGACTGTGGGGTGCACATGTGTCTTTAAAGAGCTCAGACAGGTGCTACTAAGTTAGATTAATGAGTGGAGTAGAGGTGGACTTTTTAAAGGCACAGTAACAGGTCTTTGAGAGCCAGAATTCTTGCTGTTTCTCAGGTGTTTGAATAATTATGTTTAGCAGTGCAAGACAAATAAATTCTTTAAAAATCATACAATGTGATTTCCTGAATTCTTTTTAAAATTCTGTCTCTCAGAGTGGGAATGCACCTACAATGTAAATTTCAGACCCCTCCATGATTTCTAAGTGGGAGAACTTGAAAAATCGCAGGGTGTTCAAATACTTCTGTTCCTCACTGTATATCACAAATTTTTGCATTCTATATTAATTTCTTCTGATTCCTACTGCACTCTGCTCTCTGCCCTACTTTTGATCCCTTAACTGTGTGTTACTTAGTCCTGACCCCTGTGCTATGTGGGCATTTGTACTAATAAAGTGGGCTTGCAGATTCTGATAAGCCACCAGCTCACAGACCCCCACAACTACCAGGTTGTAGAGAAGAGGCCCTTGTCTTCATCAACATGGGGGCAAAGTGATTTGGAGGTACTGAACCTGGCGAAGTACCCCCCAATGTTAAGGGCATGTGGCCTGGTATGGTTCAGCAGGGAGGAGGGGCTGTATGGCTGTCTGGTATGAATTTTATTGGGGGAAACTTTTTCCGCGGGCCCCCCTTCCAGATCACGCCAAACCTGAAAAGGCTGGTATGAATTGGAGAGAATCCAACTTTTTAAACTATCCCCAGCATCTTTGTGTACATAGCTAGGGATATAAGTGACATGGCCGGCTATATAAGGGAATGGCACTCAGTGGTGCCTGCACCCATCCGCATCCTCAGAAGGATCCAGTTAAAAGCCATCTTTATTTCAAATAAACATATGAAAGCAGTGAAATCACAATGGGGGAAAAAAAGACATAAAAAACACATTTCATCCTAGATTGTAAGCTCGAAAGAGCAGGGCCCTTGAACCCCTCGTGTTTTGTTTTGTTACTGTATTGTCTCATGTTCTGTCCCCCACTATAATGTACAGCGCTGAGCAAACCTTTTAGCGCTATATAAATACTGTATACCGTATATACTCGAGTATAAGCCGAGTTTTTCAGCACATTTTTTGTACGTCTGCAGATGACATGCCGCCCTGTCATCTGGACACACCCCCGGGATCAATCCTCGCCGGTGATTGGCCGCCGGAAATGTAGCTCAGGAGAGGCACACAGGCGCCCAATCACCGGCGAGGAGGTGGAGCTTGGAGAGGAGGAGCCGAGCGGCACCGCGAAGATCGAGCGAGTGAAGAGGAGGAGAGCGGCTGGAGAAGGAAGACATCTGACCGGTAAGTGTGTACCATGGGAGAGGGAGGGAGCGAGCGAGCCCAGGCTGGAGCAGGGGTCACCAACGATGGGGCACTATTCCTCCCCCCACTGACACCAACGATGGGGCACTGTTCCTCCCCCCACTGACACCAACGATGGGGCACTATTCCTCCTACACTGACACCAATGATCGGGCACTATTCCTCCCCCCACTGACACCAACGATGGGGCAGTATTCCTCCCCCCCACTAACACCAACGATGGGGCACTATTCCTCCCACACTGACACCAATGATGGGGCACTATTCCTCCCCCCACTGACACCAACGATGGGGCACTATTCCTCCCCCCACTGACACCAACGATGGGGCACCATTCCTCCCACACTGACACCAATGATGGGGCACTATTCCTCCCCCACTGACACCAACAATGGGGCACTATTCCTCCCCCCACTGACACCAACGATGGGGCACTATTCCTCCCACGCTGACACCAACGATGGGGCACTATTCCTCCCCCCACTGACACCAACGATGGGGCACTATTCCTCCCCCCACTGACACCAACGATGGGGCATTATTCCTCCCCCCACTGACACTAACAATGGGGCACTATTCCTCCCCCCTCGGCTTATACTCGAGTCAATAGTTTTTCCCATTTTTTTGTGGTAAAATTAGGTACCTCGGCTTATATTCGGGTCGGCTTATACTCGAGTATATACGGTAATAATAATAATAATGTTATGTTCAGTGCCTACTCATACCTACAGTAGGAATAAGCACTAAATCCAGCATGAAACACGTTACCATCTCTTTCTTTCCCCAACTGTGATTTCACTGCATTTGTATGTTTATGTGAAATAAAGATGCTTTTTTTTTATTTGAAATGGATGGTCTTTATTTCTGTTTCAATAGTTTTTATTAAAAAATTTTTGTTTTAAAAATACAACAAGCTCAACATACGCCCACACAGGGGCAACAGGGGCAGAGCAGAATAATAACACATAAACAGAGACATCCTGCTGACTTGTGTTAGTCTAATAATGAAATATCCAGTGACATCAAGGAGGGACGGCAAAAGCCGAACCAAATAGCAGCAGTAATACAACATAATATCGGAAAAAAAAAGAGAAAAGAAAAAAGGTTAGAAGAAAGGAAAAAGAAAATAGAACAAAAAGGGGAATCAGAAAGAAAACATGGAAGAAGGGAAACTAAAAGGATCACGGATCCAGGGCTAGCACAGGCAGCGACTATAAGAGGCCATAACTAGTAGGAGGCAAGGATGGCAAGGAATAACGTATCCAAGGTTCCCAAACCTTAAGGAATCTCGGATGAGAATCATGAAGAATGCTAGACATCTGTTCATTGAACAACATAGCATTCATCTGGGTCCTCACCCCCTGGAAGACAACCAAAGGGGTTCTCCAAGCTTGAGCTATAGCACGTTTGGCCGAAATAAATAAGTAGGATGCCAATTTCTGCTGAGACCTAGACAAACCCAAAAATTGGGCAATGCAGGAGGGCCACCCTTCCATCCCTATGGACCGTAATATGAAATAGCGTTTGTAGCAAACCAAAAACCCTAGACCAGAAGCTTATCAATCACGGCCATGACCACCAAATGTGCAAGACTTCCCCGTGTAGACCACAGTTCCGGAAACACCTATCTCCGCCAGTCAGATTAAAGTGAGCAGTCCGAGCCGGGATCCAGTACCACCGCAGTAGAACTGTGTAGGCTGCCTCAAGAGCGACTTATTGAATGAACATTTCGCCACCATCCCCCAGGCCCCACGCCAATCCTCCGCCGCAATCGAGACACCCAGATCTCGCTCCCATTGAGAGACATAAGACAGAGGTGGGGAGGAGGACCTACTGTTAAGAGAGGCATAAATTACAGAAATGAGACCAGGGGACCCTGGGGAATACTGACAGGCGTGTTCAAAAGGCGTTTTGTGGTAAGGGTATGTAGAGGTATGACGGACGGAGAGGACCCAGTGGCACAATTGCAAATACCAAAAATATTCCCATGGCGGGACCCCCCCTTGATTCTTGAAGAGACTCCCATGATGGAAACATACGAGTGCTCAGAAAATCATGTACAATAACAAAGCCATGGGAGGTCCACCAAGAGAAGGAAGGGGGATGTGCTAGTCCTGGTGGAAATAAAGGATTATGCGTAATCGGCAAAAGAGGTCGAAATTATGAAATCAAATTACCTGAATATTTTACAGAATCCCAGGTTCGAAAACTGTGAAGCATGATCGGGCTCAAATCCAGAGGGCACAACTTAGGTGGGAGCCAAAGCAATGTAGTTAAGGAAAGCGGAGCACAGTTGGGTAAGTCCAAGAGTACCCATAACGGGATATCTGTCGTGGCATGAAGCATAGACAACTGGGAAATCTGAGCCGCCAAGTAGTATCTAGAAATGTGTTGAACTCCCAAACCTCCCTGTAATCTTTGAGTATACAGAGTCGCTCTAGGCACTTTGGGACATTTATGAGCCCAAATAAAACTGAGAATCTGGCTCTGTAGTACACGAAGAAAAGACGCAGGTACATGAATAGGGAGAGTACGGAAAAAGTACAGGATCTTCGGCAAGATAGTCATCTTGACAGCATGTATCCGGCAAATCCATGATAAAGAAGGAAACTGCAAAGAATGAAGCAGGGAGGTAAGAGAGTGCAATAAGGGGTAATAATTAGACGAAAATAAGGCAGAGTAGGAGGAAGTAAGTGTAACGCCAAGATAAGCCAGAGAATGGGAAACCCAACGGTAGGGAAATTGTGTCTGCAACCGTTCAACCAGGTCGTCAGGGAGCATAATATTCAATGCTGTGGTTTTAGACAAATTGATGCAAAGGCCAGATATAGTCGAAAAAAGGTCCAATATGACCTGGAGATTGGGGAGAGTGATGAGAGGATTGGATAAAACCAAAAGGGCATCATCCGCAAAAAAGTTGGCCTTGTATTGAGTGCCAGCATAGGGGACACTAGAAATATCTGGGTGATTTTGAATAGCTGCAGCTAAAGGTTCAAGAGTGAGAACAAAAAGAGCAGGTGATAATGGGCATCCCTGTCTCGTGCCCCTGAAAATAAGGAAGGATGAGGAAAAAAAACCTGCATATTTAACAGAGGCCGAGGGAGACGAATATAAAGCCGAGATCCAAGCCAGAAATGCATCACCAAACCCCCATCTAGACAGCGTATATGTCAAATATTCCCAAGAAAGTGAATTGAACGCTTTAAAAATGTCTAGGGATAAAAGGAACCCTGTGTCAAGGTCCTACCTTTTCCCTGAGGTTATGTTACTCCATGTGCTGGCGTCCATCTTGGATTCTGCTGTGCATGATGGGAGTCCTTTTATGCCTTCAGAATTCTGTGGTCCATCCTCCAGAGGGGTGTGGCTGATGACATATAAGCCTGTGGCCCGCACATGCTCTTTGCACTTGTGTCTTGTGTCTTTGTGTTACTATTACTCTGTTCTGACTCTCGTGACTCTCCTGGTATTCTGATTCGGCTTGTCTTGACTATTCTTTGTATTCTCCTTTGATCTGACCCTCTGTTGCTGAACCCGGCTCGTGACTGTGATTCTCGTCTGCTGTCCTGTACTGTTCTGTCCTGTTGTTGTTGACCCCGGCTTGTCTGACTACTCTTTTGTCTCTTCCACCAGCTACACGCCATTGGCGGCGGCCATTACCGCAGCTGAGGTTGTCTCGGGGGGCCGCGACCTTGTTCTGGCTGCGTCAAGTCCATCCCCACCATCAGGGGCCCTGGTGAAGGGCAGCCTGGGACTTAGATCTCCGCGCCCTGAGGGGACTCGGTCTGTGGGTGGTGGTTGTCGTCAGCCAGTGCTTTACATTGTTAGGCCTGCCTGTCCGTTCCTCAGCTCCTGCCTGACAATTACACAAGTGCCATGAACCCTGACGGTGCAGAGGCACGCCTTCGCTCCAATGCTAGTTGCCAGACTCGATCAACAGGATCACCTGTTGGATCAGTTCGCTCAGGCGTTGCAAACTCTGCTCGCACGCACTGCACACCTTGCTTCCTGGTGCTATTAGGCCGGTAGTCGCTCCGGTGGTTTTCTCTCGCGCTGCTTCTCCGCCTATTGCGTCCACCACCTCGACGGCTGCATCAGCGGCGCCCAGAGGTATGACTGGTTCTGCCCTCTTTCCACAGCGCTTTGGGGGTGAGCCGAGTCAGTGTCGTGGGTTCCTCAACCAGGTGGGTATTTATTTTGAATTAATACCCCACCCTTTCCGTCTGAGAGGTCAAAGGTGGGTGTTCCTAATTTCACTACTCTCAGGACAAGGCCTTGGCCTGGGCAAATCCCTTATGGGAGAGGAACGACTCGGTGATTCAAGATTTTTCCTGGTTTTGTCGATGCCTTCCGTAGGGTATTCGACGTACTGGCTCGTTCCGCCTCGGCGGCCAAGCTGCTCATGACCATGCATTCAGGGTTCACGGACCGTGGCCGAGTACGCTATATAGAGTTTCGTAACTTGGCTGGCAGAGGTCGGTTGGAACAATGAGGCTCTGTGTGCTGCGTTTTTCCCATGGTCTTTCTGACACATTGAAGGACGATGATTGCAGCTAAGGAAACTGCCTGTGGTGTTGGAGGAGCTATCTCTTTCCTGATCCTGATTGACACCGGCTCAGGGGAGAGGCCTTCACTCAAGGAAAGACTGCGGAGGCTTCCAATCGACTGGCACCTGGTTTTCTGTCCCCACCC